AGCATACTGGAATTTCCGTTCTCGTGTTCAAATATTCGTGTATATCCTTATATAATTGGTGCTAGTGTGAGGCATTCATCCGTCGTGAGATTCACGAGCGAGAGGACAAATCACAGTGTGCGATTATTAGTGCTCTTCATCTAATCTGCCATGCAAACTCGCATCATTATTAGCAGCACACTCTACAGGTAGCATGGAGAGTTGATACGCGAAACTACTGGCCATGTGGAACTACTTCGCCCATACTTTTCTCCGACACCAACGATTCCCCATAGCGATGGCCAGCGACGCAGCGAAGAGTGACCCTTTTATCGACAATAATGATGAGATTTTGTTGTCGTCGTTGCGAGTATCGGATAATTTAGAATTTAGCGTATTATTGAACGGTACCCCGTTGGCCGGCGAACCGTTGCTGAAGGTGGCGACCGGGATCAAAACACCCTTGGCTTCCTGCTCAATCCGGCCCTAGTTGCCTCTTGCACTCGACCACGATTCTCTCTCTCCTGCTCATCAAGAACCATCACTGGAACACCCATAGGGCCAGAATCTGAGCGCCGTGCCACGTTTGTTTCACTTGTCAATGCACTCGACCTGAAGCCAGCTCAGTATCGTCACACTCCAGAGTCCACGCTATCTCAACCAACTCAGGTCACTTTCAAGTCACTCGATTATCCAAATAACATGTCGGCCAGTCAGACGGTCAATCTTGATCCACTCAAGGCCAATATGGCCTCTGTCGACACTCCCCACGCACAAGAGTTTTCCTTCGAGTTATCTGGCGGATTAGAATCAGAATCATATGATGATGCTCAAGCAGATAACAGCGTCGTCTCTCTGGATCCCGAGGTGCTCGCGTCTCTCGTGATCCAATTACGGACAAATTTAGCCACCACCACCAAGGAGAGGAATCAGATCAGAGGCGAAAGAGACGACCTCATCCGTGACCTAGCTATCACACAGACGAGATTACAAGAGCTAGAAGACGTCCATGAGAGGGAAGTCCAAACATTGAATGAAATGGCCGTGTGGAGGAAGCGATGTGAAGAAGCAGAAGAGCAGGTCGCACTACTGAGACAAAAAGTCGAAGAAAGCAGAAGAGCTGTCATGACGCTGCAGACCCAAAGTAAACGCTTATCCCAAATGAGCGCCTCGTTCGGCAGCCCTCACGCCCAAACGTTTAGTGGAGACCCCACGAGTCGACCGGGATATGCAAAGAGGATGAGCTTGCAAGTTGGCCCATCCTCTTCCCCTCCGGTTTCGCTTATGGCACCGCCTTCCAAGAGCCCGAGGCGCGAGTCCATGAGCCCAGATCCCCCTTCAGGTACCTCTTCTACCAACCCATCAAATCCTGAAGGATCACCACCTCAAACCCGCCCAAATTCAGACCATGGTCATCAATCACAAGATGCGGACACCCTGTCCAGGCGTGCTTCTCGACGTCAATCCGCAATGTACGTTCGTCCTACGGAGTCACTTCTCAATCCAGTGGGTGCCGAGTTGGAATCACTCCGACAAGAGCTCGTCTCTGTGCGAGTAGAGCTGTCGGAGACAAAGCGAGAACTCTGGGAGGCCACGGAGGCCAAGGAAGCAAGTGACGCTTGTCTCAAAGCTCTCAAAGACTGTGAGATAGCCCTCTTTATCACACCTCGATTATCCTGCTAACTATATATTGCAGTCATCAACGAGAACAATATCGGAACCGCTTCAGGCTCCCCCACCTCTTCATCCGTTGGACCCGACTCTGCCTCTCTTCGGGGAATCTCACTTCCACCTCTCCCTACAGACGATATCCCTGATGCCGAAGACACCAGTCAGACGAAAACCCCAGTTGCTACGCATGCACAAACACCGTCTATGGGCAGGAAAGGCTGGGGTCTCGGGTTTTGGACTAGTTCGACTCCAGCAACGAATGGACATACCTCTACCCCAGCAGACAAGGCGTCTGGAAATGGCTCTGTTAGTCATTCCTCCTCTTCGACGTTACTTCCTGCTAAAACCAGCGCCGTCTCTGCTAGTTCTTTCAGTAATTTTGTCTCCAAATGGCGAAGAGGTGATTCAATCTCATCCTCTACGGAAACCCAAGAACCAGCAGTGACTCGATTATCCCAAGGCTCCCTTTCACCAGACCCACGAAATTCACCGAAAAATATCAATGACAATTACACGCCCGCTCCTGTCCCCGGAAGCCTAAAACGACGACCTTCTGCCTATGGTGCGAACCATTTAGATACAAAACTTGGCTTCGGGGACAGCAAGTCAAATACGACTGTTATCTTCAGCTACGATAGAAGAGATTCCGAGATGTCACCCGCCGTCGCAAGTTTTGGCAATGACAGAACCAATACAATCCTCACATCCCAACGACAAACCATACTCCAGATCAACAAAGCCAGGATGTCGCCAGAGAGTATCACAAGCTCACTCGTCAACCCCACTCCTTCGCTCACCGATGCTGAAAGCACCACTAAGGATAGCGGCAGCGACGGTGAACTAGATAGAAAGTCATCTTTAGAATCCTTGACCGACTCTATCAACAAGACACCTTTGGAAGCATCCTTCTTTCCCATCCAGACCACTGAGCCCGAAGAGCTTCAGGATGAAACCAATGTCCTCCTCTTGCCCCCAGCGACTCAGTCCATGAACAGATCACCACTTTCCGCGTCGCCGAGAGCTAGAATTGGCGATGTTCCCAAGTCTCCCGCACTGCGCTTAGCTGGTGTCGAGAGCAGGAGGAAGACCCGATCTCGTGCTTCTTCCAATGCTGCATTCATGGGCTCTGGGATGGAGACAATTGTCGAGGGAAGTAACCGACCTGGAAATGAGTAGAGAAGGTTCGGTATCAGACCGAGTGCCGCCCGGTACTCTCTTCATCATGACTACAGGGTTTAAACTTATTACTCTCCGTAACGCTCAGATCTTTATACCCGATTTTGACCTGATTCGTTCTATGCGGATTTTGCCGTTCAGTTACTGGACTGCAATCATTATTACATTATTGTATCGTATCCTTTGGCCGTTACCAAAGATATCTTTCCGGTGGGTGGCGATCGTCACTCAGTTCAAGGAGCCATAGATTATTCGTTAGAAGACCGAAGCTAAATGACACGCTGGTTAAACATCCAATATGACGCATGTAGCACAGTTTTAGTTTAAAAGCGTGATTCAGAGAATAGCCTTGAGAGTTAAAGGTCTAAAATATTCTCAGAGCCACATGAGTCTATTACATGCCGTACAGAAAAGTCGTGAAGGATGCTTTTCTACGATCAGGTTGAATTTCCGGTCCGCTTTGGCTCGGGATGTGCTCTCTGTTCTCTACTGATCCCTTCTACTCGTCACCAGAACTGTTGGTGGCCCTGTTCTGCTCTAGCTTGAGGTAAAATTCTTGCCTTTTACGGACTGTGGAGTGGAGAAATAGTCAGCGGTGTGGGTGAGGTGCGGTGTGAAAGGGCAAGTGGGATAGTTGCTCGTGGCTCTCGACGCTATGTCGGGACGATGGATCTGGACCAATGTCCGTCTAGCCGAATCCCAGCGCCATGGGAGTCAACGTCAAAAAGTGCCTCTAGAGGACGTCTAGGAGTGCCATGGAGCCTCGAGGTGTCGTAGAATGGCGTTGAACGAGACGTGCCGTGATGCAACACTTACCCGTTGGGATGTAGTAAAAGTACCTACGCGGTTCGTGACCAAAGGTGAGCTCTCCAGATTATAATATTCGAGATAAACAGCTTACTCACCAGTATGCATATGCGCTACTTACACCCAGGCCTAATGATGTCCCGAGGTCAGTCCAGATTCGTCGACGAAGTTTTCCGGTGATGGCGGCAACAGGCATGGTTGTCTCTTCCTATCCAAGAAAAGAGCAAATTAATAACTAAAATTTAGAAGTGTTTGGCGAATTTACGAGGTTAAGTTGTGATGAGGTGTGGTTGAAAGAGTCCAAGGTTGGCTTTGGATTGCGGCCAAATCCGAGCCACGAGACCTGAGCACAACTTGCCCTTAACCACGTCCTTTGGGACGTGCATATCATCATCCAAGAACGATTCCAGGTCATTCGTTCCCACCTGCGAGCTGTTCGCATAGCTGCATTTTGGACAAGGATCTAAATCCATCGTACCCTTTGCAATGGGTGACAATACAACCGTTCAAGTCGTCGATGGTTTGGGGAGTAAAGGGGTCTTGGAGAGCTCATCTGTAACCCAAAGGTCAGCTTCAATGTTCCAGGCCTCTGGTTCCAGGACCATGCTCACATCGATTACTTCCTCTGTGATTATTATCACAACGTATAGCCATTCGCCCACAGACACCGGAAATAGGTCTTCAGAACAAACTGAACCGGGTGTACCCCAGTCTAGGCTATCCGCTGCGAAGCCCCTTCCCCCCAGCGAGAGGGAACAGTCGCCACTGGCCACCACGCAAGGAACTTCGACGAGCAGAACTGACCCTATTCCAGACGGAAACCTGACCCAAGCCTCCAATACCCATCGATCTAGTGCGTTGCATCCGTATCTTCCCCATTTGGTCTCAGATCCCGTTGTTTGTTGTGTGATATTCACTCACCATTGATCGTACAGCGGTCGGAACGGAGAAGGATCAAGAGAGCAAAACAACAGGAGCAGGGGATCGAGGAGAACTGGAGACAAAAAAAGAGGGTATGTACTACTCTTTTGGCCCTCATCATCTCAGTTCATTCCGACCATCCACGATTGGCTCCAGATCTCATGTTCGCCCCCAACTAACTTGTATCTTCAGACGTGACCGCCCCAACTTCTTCTGAAGGAAATCCGGAGCAGAACTTTATGTCAAGAGAAAACAAACCTTCAGTCACTATTCCACAGTTACAGTGGACACAACCAAGTTCCAGCTCTTCGGACATTATGAGCCCAGCAAATGAGGGACCATCTTTGTCTAGGAGAAATAGCAAATATGCATCTGGGTGGAGCTCTAGGCGGAATAGTAGGAGGAGCAGCAAGCACAGTTCCGTCACTTCTCTCGTCTCGACGAGACCTGCCCCTCCATCGCCGGCCTCTTCGAATCCAAGTCGCCGAACATCTCAAGCATACCCCTTTCCTCCTACTCCATCTCGTAGACAATCTACACACTCTCAAATCTCCGACCATTCGACCGAGCGATCTCCATCTCAAAAAAATTCGTCGTCATCTTTACACCGTTCGTTCCAAAATGCGAATAGGACCGGGACCCTAAGCATTAGTAACTCTAGGAGACAATCTACTCTTGCCATTTCGTTCACGAACCCGGCTCTTACCACGGATATCTCTGACCCACCCGACACTGGTTCGTCACAGTCTCCGCTCAAAGTAGTGGGCGAAGGGGAAACTCCAACTCCTGCGGATAAAGTACCCCTACCTCCTACAAATCCCTCTGTTCAAGATGATCAAAGCATCAATTCCAATTTGGACGCCGTAACAGGTTTCCCCAGCCGAGCAGATAGTACACCAAAATACGAGAATCCTATCCAACGAAACTTTTCCTCCACGTCCGCGAGTACTTCTGGCTCTGCTTCTTCTACTCCATCAAGAGTCGCTGCTCGACATGCTAACGAGTTGGAGGCTGCATATGCCAGTTTTTATTCCTCCGTCGCCGACACTGCGACCTCTGAAGCCGGGAAAGAGCCCGGACCCACGAATGCATCCCATTCCAACGAAGGAATGGATCTCGAAGATATTCAATGGTATCGCGATCATCCGATTGTGGTGCGCGACTACGCCTTCGAAGAGGACGATGAACGCTTTTCTAAAGTGCCTTTGGAACTGAAGCCGGCCTCTGAGCGACCTTCGCAACACAGAATAGGTATTTTCACTTTTTTCTTTTCAATAAGGCGCGTCGAGTCTCACTATGGATCTTCAGTTGGTCAACATAGATGGGACGTTACGTACAACGAAGACGAAGACGAAGACGAATGGGGATGGCCTATCGGTACTATAACCGGAGGCAGTGTACCCCTGAGTGCGCCTATTACGGGCGGACAGCGTGCAGAACTCAAAAATCGATCAAGAGCTTGGAATGGTCTGGGAAACCGAGGGGTTGGTGGGCGATGGACAGAGATTAGCGAGGAAGAAAGTAGTGGATTCTATGAAGAAAGTGGAGAAGAAGAACATGAAGACAATGAAATTCCGACTCCGAACGATGGAGACGAAGAGGATGACAGTTTTACGGGAGATGTCCACACCCCTTTACACTCCTTCTCTCATCCCCGCCTACACGATCCCCATCTAGATCATGAAATGGATGGCGTGGATGGTGACGAGGATTCGTCACCAGAGTCTAGCGATCGCGAAGACTACTCGCTAAGGCCTGGAATCTATCGTGTCCTATTTGCATTTACAGCGGAAAGTCCGGCAGAGATGAGCGTCAATGAGGATCAGTTGATACGGGTTCTCGGAAGGGGAGGAGGAGAAGGGTGGGTAGTAGCACTCCGCTCTTGGACACCTGAAGACACTCTTCCGGATATGCGTGCGCCCACCGAGGAGGCAAATCATGAGGAAGAGCATGGTCTTGTCCCTGAAAGTTATATTGAGCTCTATCGAGTAGGAACATCTGCGGACTATTGATTCGTTGGTAAGTAGCTTTATCGTCTGGTCCCTGCCATACAAGAAGGACTGTCTCATTAAAGGCTAGTAGCTTGACATAAGGGGGCGGGGTCACACCTCACATAGTATCTACTATTCGGATACATCCCACCTGGTACTAATCGATCGGTTTTCTTGCGCTATTTCGGTTTGACTTCGGTATCACACTCCCAGGTCTTGTTCAATATTGGCTTCATTATGTGCACATGGGCTGTCGAATGTTGGTTGTGTATTCACTGAATATAAATATGGTTGTAGTCGAAAATAGAGGCCTACGACTCAGCGTTCTTGAAAGCTGATTCCTCTAACAGCTGGAATGCCCGTCACTGAGTTCGACTTTGCAATTGCCAGATCAGTGACGCATATCTGGACGGACTCCGAATGAGCGAGGAGGGGTTTCACTACCATTTTTTCTTGTAAATTACCAGAGACAAGGGCTAAAATATCTATATATATCGTGGACATGCAGTATAATCAATTTATTATGTATCCTTTTGACCTGAGCTCTTCACAGTTCGCGAGCTTCGTATTTCTCAGCTTCTTGATAGCCTCTTTGTCTGCCCCTATCCCAAACACCCC